AATGCGAATGTGGTGAAGGACAATTTGAACTCGTAGTCAGCCTAGCGAGGAGCGGAGGCCTCCCGTCCCCCACTGTTCATGCCCTTATTGTGCCCTATCCATCCGTTTCCGACCTTATTCCTGCACATATGGTATCAGAGGGGGCTTCGAGTTCAAACCATGTGCAAATCTCCGAAACCACTTTTTCGTGAACAGTGCCTTTAAGAAGGCGAGGGTAAGCGGGATATCGGTAATACATATAAGGGATAAAGAGCAAGGTGACCGGCAAGCACAAGTACGGGTACGAGTTCCGGGAGAGAGCAAAGTTCTGCCCACAGCTCTGTCCTTGTGAGTTTTTCGAAATTATCTGCTACTAAAAAGAACTCGTCTTGCGTGGGAAATCCAGCACAATATGCATGTCGCCTACAGCAGGGAATTCGGTCAGTGCCTTCCAGACCCCGCCGTCTGTCTTGAACAACTTTTAATCCAGGTGGCGTCGGAGAAAGTTGGATAATGAGTTGTCAACATGATGAAGCCGAGCTACAATGAAGTTAATGGATTACCAGGCAGCTACCAAGGTCGGCTTCGCCCGTGTGGTTTGGGATTGTTCGCGTGAAGAGATTTGAGGTTGGTACGTTCAACATGAACTTTGTGGCTTTGAAGTTCCTTCCACACTTGGACAACCTCAACTCATCACTAACTTGCCCATGAGGTAGAAGCTCCCAATGCATCATTCCACACCTGCACCAGCATTAAGAAGGAACTACCATTCTGTGTGCAAGGCAAATGAGTTCCTCACCCTGATCCATCCTTTGTCTCCAGTCCACAAAGCTTTCAAACACGCTACACTACCCATTTCCAGTATTTAACGTATTGAGAAAGTTGACTTCTCGTTGTAGAGAAAGAGAGTTAAGAGAAGGACATAACCATTCTTTTCCCGACGCCTCAATGTGACAACTCGTGATCAGCCTACCCATGGCTCGAGTTTTTGAACCTTCTTAAACTTCTTCAGTGCTGCCGCGATAAAGGGATGGTGAAGGCCGTGCGTGTTAGGGAACTTCCGCATACAGGTTCACCGCGCTCGCCAGGTCATTCATGATCATACCTACCTACCTCTTCTTACCTCTTTAACCGATCTTATGGAATGTTTGCTTCTGTCCGGCGAAGGTTGCACTTCGATGTTTACTGATGATGACGTTCTCGTACGACTACGGTGAATTTTTCTAAATAACTGTTACTTATGTAAGCCTTGTTCCTAGTCTTTCAAACGCCTGGACTACAGTGCAGCTTAGTGGTACGCAATGGCATATGGTGCCTTCTGCCACAGCCTGGTAGTTTAGCATGGGTAGCGCTGCCAAAATGCATGAGAAACACTGCCTAGTCTGTTCTTAGCGTTTTGAGTTTCTACTCACTAGGAGCTTATCAGCCTTGTCAACAGACCAAATTGGAAATGCTGCTTACGGATTGACATGAATACGAGCCAATCAAGAGCATTCTTTTTTCCTCTCGCAGTCATCTCCGTATCCGTAATCCGTAATCTCTTTATCCAGGAGTTCTCGACAGAATAAATACCGGCATTTCTGTAGTCAGGTACGAAAAATTGGGATTAGACCTACACATTGAGATAGTTGGAACGAATGAAATGATCCGTCTCTCTCTTTCTTCAGTGTTTGTTCCGCTTAAAAGCGAAGTCTGTTTTTCTGATACATTGTCGGCACTGTTTCCGGTTAAATGCTTGATCGGAATCAAGGCCAATTACTTTCGATTCCCCAAAGTATTAGGAAAGGGTTGCTTTGAACTTTGCTGGTGTTGTTCGCGCCGCTGGGGACTGTTCGCTTAGGCGGGTTGGACTAGAGTTTGAAACGCAGAGTTTCGAATAAAGGTGATCGGCGGACCTACGAACACCTCTGTCACATCTAAATGGTCAACAATGTTCAATAAAATATTTGTCAATTCGTGATATTTTTGTACAGACTAAGAATAGGGCCATTACAGGACGCTCGAAAAATGGCTAAAAATTCTATAGCCCCTTCCGTTATCAATCGTTGGTTTTCTAAGCCTGGTGTATCATTGAAGTGGGTGGCGTCCTGCTTGATTCTCTAGCAGCAAGTTTTCACCAACATCTTGAATCCCAGCTCGTATTAGGACATAGACCATGTCAATACTGCCTTCAACAACATTCCAAGAATGAACTCGTTCGACTCATTGGCTCTTCCTTTAGAGTTGCAGCAACTCGGCATAAGTGTTTGCGATAAAGATGTTCTTGTGCCTCCAGAGGTTTTTAGGTGGAACAATTCATTAGTTCAAATGGCCCAATGTTTCAGCGCCGTCGCCCTTAAAAGGCCTTGACGCACTCCTATAGTGACAGCGGACTTTCTCCNTGCATCGTTTTTCATATTAGTCGCCATTTTGCAATAGAGGTTAGAACCCTTGTTGGATAACGTGCGAAAGCGACAGTTCAGGAAAATTTTGGGTTATCCAGATTACGACGAAAATTAAAGGAATTAGTACGATGGAGGCGAAGACAGCAAGCGAATCGATGTTTCCAAAGAGACATAAAAGGCTTCGAGAATCTCGTTAAAAAGAGGGTGGACGAGAATAAAACTTGAAAAGGAAGCAGAAGGATGGTCGGACGAGCTATACAACGTGTGTCATTGCGTACGTGTATAGCCTGGTGCGAGTAATTCTATGTGTCGTCTCCACTCTTGTCTGACATATCATCGGTCGATGGTCGGGGACGTCGGTGAATCCGGTAATGGGGCTCTTACTATACCCTATCCATTTAGGTTTTCGTCCCGACAGAGTCCTTTGGTTATCCTTGGGGAGCCACTGGGTAAATCTAGGAGGAAGTCGTAGGGACCATTTTTATCGCAAATTGTGCTTTCAAGGCCTNGATGTTTCCAAAGAGACATAAAAGGCTTCGAGAATCTCGTTAAAAAGAGGGTGGACGAGAATAAAATTAAAAAAGGAAGTAGAAGGATGCTCGGACGAGCTATACAACGTGTGTCATTACGTACGTGTGTAGCCTGGTGCGAGTAATTCTATGTGTCGTCTCGACTCCTGTCTGACATATCATCGGTCGATGGTCGGGGACGTCGGCGAATCCGGTAATGGGGCTCTTTCTATGCCCTATCTATTTAGGTTTTCGTCCCGACAGAGTCCTTTGGTTATCCTTGAAGAGTCACTGGGTAAATCTAGGAGGAAGTCGAAGGGACCATTTTTATCGCAAATTGTGCCTTCAAGGCCTCTGAAGACGACGATGGCGTCAAACCTCAAGCCCTTTGAACCAATAATTGTTTCGTTTGAAAAATTTGCTCCGCTTCTCATGCGGCGTGATAACGTCACTATCGCTCTCAATATGATTTTCCACTTCAAATAAAAAAAAACATTGCCTACCTTCTACGAGCTTTTATGTGAACCGTTCCTGCGTGTTTTATCGTAATACCTCGTTTAGGCTTTCTGTGAATATACACAATGGATCTTGAAGAACTGTCCGTTGCAGGTGTTTTAGATGTTCGACATTCGGAAGCATTTTTGGCGGTAGTAACAATAGACAAAGTGGATGACGAAGCAGACATGGTCTTTCGACAAGGCGGCTGCTGCTGGCGTTCGCTGGAAGTTGAGACAGTGCTCTGACCAGTTGAGCTGGAAATTGTTATTATTATCCAACACTTGAATTAATTTCGGCTTTAGTTTCCTCATTCAGTTGCGACTTCACATAATTCTCAGCAAATGAATCTATATGTCACGATCTCGATGCGATATATCTTATAGCTAGATTATTTCACATCGAGTTACTTATTTATTGCCAACCTTTCAAGTCAGGACAGTGGATGTGTCAGGGTATTTTCGTATTCAGGACCTCCTTACTAAACGTTTGGGAAGAATTCGACTAGTCGCTCATAACCATTCATCTACAGCTACAGTTTGTGTTCCGGATCATATTAACCGGTGGTTTACGGTGTAACCGTAAACCACCTTGTCACAAGGCAGGAGAGAGGGTGGGCACCACAAAAATAAGATCGATCATTGAGCAAAAGAGTTTTTTTCAGCACCATGTAAGACTGTGTTTCCAATTTGTGAATAGTATCCAATCAAGA